CCTCAGATGCCAAATTCTCTACATCCACCACCCACCCAACACACATATACATAATAGTACCCTTGAATTGAAATTAATTAGTCAAATTTGAGACTCTTGAAAATAAGATTTCAATGAAAGCAAGTTTTGGGAAAAATCCCAAACTCCAATGAGAATTAAAAGAGGGAGGTATGTTTCAAGATGCCCTGCAGTGGTAAAAGGAGAGTTTACAAATTCCAAGCCCGACCTAAATCTAAATGAGATACCATATCCAAAACCGGAAAGGCAATGAACAGAGACGAACATCAAGTCACCACGTCCAACGTTGGCACTAGGGTTAGGGCTTCTGGGCATGGAGATATCACATATGACTTGTTGCAAAACATCCAAAATGGCTGCAAAAACATAGAGAAATGGTTGATGAGAGGGTATAGGGCATATGGGGTAGGTTGGGTCGGGAAAGGGGAGAGAGAATGAGAGACATTTTGAAATGTTATTTTATTTTATTTTATGGTTTTAAAAGTGTATTATTAACTATGGTTTACACATAAACATGTGTCAAGTTTTTAAAATGGTGATGAGGATACACCTTGAGTAAAAGTGATGAGCAACAATACTCCTTTTATTGAGGTAGAATACGACTGTATTAAGAATTACGGATTATTGATCGAAATGGTCCCCCAACTTTTGCTTCAGTCTCATTTTGGTCCACGAACTAAATTTTACATTTCAATAATCCTCTAACTCTCCATTTAGTATCAAATTGGTCATATCATCGAAGTCTGTCAATTTTATTGTTAAATTGAGGGGTAAAACCATCCATATAAACTAAAATATTAATAAAGTAAACCCCATCTCAGCTTTCACCTCTCCCTTTCCCATTCCACCCCCTTTCCCCACCTTCCCTATGTTTTTTTCACCCCTACGAGAACATAAGCAGCAACCCACACAACATGACTCTGCCGTCTACGGTCCCACGTGACACCTCCTCGATCGCAACCTCACCTAGTGGGGCTTGCAGATGGGTTCTTAATATCCTACGGGACCAACTTGAAACAAAGTCTCAACCCTATTCCAAAGGCGTTAGAATGGTCAAGCATTTGCAATATGCCATGTTTTGCTTGCTGGTTTTGATGTGCTTTGGGAATAGATTGGATGAAAACCGAATCAAAGAAATAGAGTGTGTTCAACGTCCCTCGCTCTTGAGTTTTGAGGGACCATTTTGATCGAAAACCCTAAGAATCACCAACCACCTAAGCTTAAGTTTGGATGCCTCGGTAAATAAGACGAAATTATTAAGTCTTTGCCTAACAACTCAAATTTATTTTCTTTCTAAAGCGAGAAATTGAGGGGTCTAGTCAACCATGATGACGCATGTTGCCTCTGCGATGCGCCTGAAGAATTCTTGTTTTCTTGTTGTGGCTACGATCTACTCTTTGTTTCTGTGGCTCTGTCTTGAGCTTGTTAGCTAATATCTTTTTAGTTGGTTTTTTGGAGCTTTTTACAGGCTCCTTCTCCGTTTTTCTTTTTTGCTGTTCTATTCTTTTTTCTGGCGGGTGCCTAAAAGTATGTCCACCCCAAAAGGCTAAAACTAAGGCAAATGCAAGGCAATGGCTGCTACTATTCAAGTGAATAGTGGCAGCCTTACCTTTTTTGGTTCCACCCCAAAAGGCTAGGGCAAGGGCAAAAAAAAAAAAAAGCAACAAAATATAAACTTGTTATGTATTTATAGGGAAAGTGAATAAAATTGTTATGTATTTATAGGGAAAACATCCATAATTTCTTGGTTTTTCTTTTTTTCTTTTTTTAATTGAAATTTTTTCCATTTTTTTTATTTTTTTTGATTTTTTTGATTTTTTTTTTTGCTCGCTGACGTCAGCGCCCTCGGGCTGAAGCCCAAGCAAGATCTGTCATTGGGCTTGCCCGGGCTACTGCTTCTGCACTGGAGGGCCAAAACCGAGCAAACAGGCCTTTTGCCATGGCAAACGGGCCTTTTGACATGGCAAAAGAGCCTTTTGACATGGCAAAAGAGCCCGCGCTGTAGATGCTCTAATGGAATTATTTAGTTACCCAAAAAAAAAAAAGTCAATCTGCAGCGTCCGATAAACAAAATAAAATTACTATAAAATAATAATAAATACCGGCGATGCAATTATGCAAGCTTCACAATTCACATGGATAAAGTAAAATACCCAAAAACAAAATCAATAAAAAAAAATGCAAATCCAACAAAATACACGTTAATTCAGATGCAAGAACTCCGATTCCAATCGGTTATTTTCGTAAATTTGGGATGAACACGATCACAGATCACATTAACAAAACAAAACGAAGCATTAAATCCCACATTTTCTCCATTTCCGATCTCAATTTTTCTTGTAATAAAAAAAACTCAACTGATGCTTTCAGTTTCAGGATGCGAGTTGAGATCCAAACTGAAACCCCCCTCCGCTTTTTTCTCTCCATCCTTTTGATCTTTTATAAGATTAATGTTATCTTCCTCAAAATCCTGCACTTCGAAAGAGGGCCTCCATTTCATTGACGCCGTCAATCCGTCGTCGGTTTTGCCCAAGTGCTTGGCTGCCACGTGTATCCTCCTCAGTATGGCAAAGAACTCCTCCACCTCCTCCTCCGTTACCATCTCCCGATGATCTCCCTCCACTTTCGCTTTCTTCCCCCCTACTCCGCCCCCGGCATCCCGCTTTCGCTTTTCACCATCCATTATCTGATAATCTGGCAATACGAGGTTGCTCTGCGTAAGTTTATTGTTTGTGGATGGCTCTGTGTAATTTGCGTACAAACGGTTGAGTGTTTATATTGGACAGCGTGATTTGACTTTAGATTAGTCTTTGTGTTTTTGTTTTTCTTTTATAAAAGAAAAATCAAAGATGGCATGGCTAGGCTGATGCCATATCATTGAGAGGTTTTTGCGTCATCGGAGTGACGTCCGAAGGGTGGAAATGGAAGTTGGAATTCCACTTTGTGGAATCTCTCTTTATGTCTCTGGGACCACATATCTTTGTTTTTACGGCCACCTCCAGCGCCGGGGGGCCCCAAACCCATCTCCAGCACGCACAACCCAGTATGGTCAAGACATGAGACTCACCAGCCCGGAAAGTTCATGGGCAAAATTGGATTGGGTTGTTGCTCGAATGCTGTTTATCTGTTTATCAAAAAAATTTACTGTTGGTGTGAAACAGTAAAAAAAAAATTGAAAATCAGCTGCTGTCGTTAGCGCTGACCCACCAGGCCACAGAGACCAACAGCTACAAGTTATGTGGCTTCTCTTGGAGCCTTCGATAAAAAAATCTTATCCAATCCAACAGCTGTCTAATTTTTGGCTAAAAAATATAAATAAAATTTGTAAAAAATATAAATAAATTATGTAAATTTTTTTTCTTCTATAAATACCTACCAATATTATTCATATTCCACACTAAATCTTCATACAAATTCATATTTTTCTAATATTTTTCACTTTACACACCAAATTTTCTACAACAAAATTCCATTTGTGCAAAAATACAAAGGGCTTCTTCCATTGAAGTTAGGGGGTCGTAAACAAACGTTTGAAGATGTCAAAATATTGGCAACAAGGTAAAAAAAAAAATTTAATTTCCGTTTTTATTCAATTTAATGTTTTTTTATTTAAAATAAATGTATTTCTTGCATTTCCAATTTTATTTTTTAATAGATTATTCAGGACAAAGCAAAAAAGAGGAAAACCGTTACACATGGCTCCTCAAGTGAACAATGCTCGCATTCCGATTGGAAATTCTTGCATTTCCAATTTCATGTGTAATTGGTTCCAGTGGTGCGTTCCGTGTTGGAAATAATGGCACTATTATGTCATCCGAAGGAAAATACTCTCCCAAGTCGTGATTCGGTGGAACCGTCTCCGCCAATGATTGCATCGGACTATGAGGACCGGGAGTATTTCAATTGTATGATGAGTGATATGTGAATTTTATAATAAATATGGACAAGTGGCAACCGAAAATTTTATCCGAAAATTTTATCCGAAAATGTTATTTGAAATTTTAGGTGAGAATTTTATAATAAATAGTGACACATGGCAACCGAAAATCTTATCTGAAAAGCTTATCAAAATTAATAGTTTAAGTATAAAAAATAGAAAATAAATTAAAGTGAATACTAATTGCCTTTACCCTTACTTTTTGGGGTAAATTAAAGTGAATACTTCTGTTTTAGTCTTTTATGTACCGATAACCAATGACTTTTATTTTTCTTATATTTCTTTTTTAAAGATACTAAATTATAATATATTTGTCTTAGTTTTATCTATTATTTACATATTATTAATATCTTCATTTACGAAGTTAAGTCTGTTGGTCAAAATAATAAACTCATCACCTTGTATCCAAATTCAAAGTGGGAATATTTGTTCAGGAAATTTTTTTGAGTTCTTTTATTAGTCAAGTGTTATGATATAGATGATTTGTAACATGACCGAAGGATCTCAGGTAGTTGTAAACGTTTAAGCATGAACTCGAAATTTTAGTTTTAAATGTAATGAATTATATCATTTTTACTAAAGTGGGAATATTTTCATATATTTGTCACTCAAGTTGTTAAGGGCTTGTTTAATAACCATTTTATTTTCACTTTTCAGTTTTCCAAAAAGATAAAAATGGAATCTAGTTTTCAAAATTATTTTTGGTAACATATTTCTTTTTTCAGTTTTAAAAAAACTGGAATATAGTTTTCAAAATCACCCTTTTTTTAAAAACAACTTTGAAAGTGTTTTCAATTTTAGTTTTTATTTTTCCCGCTCTTTTTCATTCACAAATTTTTCATCACCACACATGTAATGCACTATTGACAAGACCTGACCCAAATTCCAAAGTGAAATTTGTGTCAAACCCTTTGTGTGTCCAACACCTGGCAGGTATCGGCACAATTGTCCAAAATACACATTCCTATCTTAATATAAAAACTGCTTTAGGGTTTGACTTCTATCGAAAATTCGGCAGAGTCTCCCCTGAAAAACAAAAATGTACCAAATTATTTTCACCTGTAAATATCATAGTTTAATATTTCCCAACTTCAGCATGCACAATGCTAACTCACCACATTTACCAGAAAGGCCTTCAGCCTCAAGTTCAACTTTACCAAGGCTACATCAACATAATATATAAATTTGTTTCTTACTTTACAAGTAGCCACAATTTCCAAAACATAACTCAACCGTTTATTTTGCGGTTTTACCCAGGTTGCCTATGTACCCTTATTGAGGGATCAAGCCATGCGTAGTTCTTTCCACAAGAAAACAAAGTTCAACCCAAATGTCAGCATATGATTTAAATGTTCCTTCACATCTCCCCTAAACCAAAAACTTCAACTCTAATTAATCCTGTAAAACTTTAACAAAAGATTTTGATTCAGAACAGTTTTCCACCCATCACATATGTGCATATACAAATACATATATATAATAGCTCGTTACTATTAAATATGAAAATGAGAAAGTTATTAAAATAAAATTGGTCACGTGAAACCTTAATATCGATATTAACAATTTGAATAAAACGTGCTTCTATCTTTCACATGTAAAAACAAACTTATCACTTAAGAAAATAGTTGTGAATTGAATAAAATCCTTAAAATTTAGAAAACCCTCAATCTTTGTCTTATAAATCGGAAAACATATATTAAAACTTTCACCAATAAGTACCAAAATAACAATCATAAATTTTAGTTTAAAGATATATCAAAACTCAAATACTCACCACCTATGTGCACCTTCATTCATAATCCATCAATTCCACTAATATTCCGTCAATTACAAGTACCATGTATGTTATATCGTCGCAGAATTCAAGGAACATGTGGTCAGCCCGAGAACGTATATCCACGCAGAACTCGGGGGACACGTAGTCAGCCCGAGAACGCATATATGTCAAATCCCCTCACAAGACCCAGGAAGATATAATCAACATGAGAACGCAAATTCTCGCACCACATGATTCAGGCGTCCTCAAAACTCGTGGGGCATTATCATAAATTGCAAGACTGTTCCAAAGACAACTAGGGGGTACTCTTGTGGTGGGTTTGAAAACCTTATTCCAAAACTTATCATAAAATTCCTCTTGTTCCACAAATCCACTTTCACAAATCCCTTTTCCAAAATTTTCTTAATTTTCCAAAAATAAGTTCTTAAATAGATAACCAAAAATCCCTTCTTAAAATGAGAGCAATTCTAATCTTCCTTAATTGAATTTAACTATGCATAATCTTTCAAAACTGTTCCCAACTATATTTAAATATGTACCACATACTATTGAGTAAACTAATATCCATAATTCATCGATTTCAAGCCACCAAACATATATTTAAATAGAGACATATAATCAAGCATTTAATCAATTCCTTAATCATTCCAAAAAGGTTATCCAAGCCATTCCCAATTCCACACAATTAAACATAATATAATATACTTGGAAAGTAAACGCAATTTCAGTATAATTCATAAACATTTAAATAAACTCGCATAACATAAAACCATTTAAAAACAAACAAACAAACAAACCTCCAATTACAATTTTAACCACCAAATGGTCTCAACCGAGCCGACATAGCCCACTATTGGTTTGACTCCAATCGCAGCATTTGACCAATTGGGGTTGCAGGGCCCACAACCTCCGATTTCTAGTCCGAATGTTCTTATAAGCCTAATAAGGTCTACATAACAAGGTTCGTGAGTTTGGTCTCGATTGAGCGGTCGGATTGCTCCCGATCGCAGGATTGGACGGTCGTCGTTTTATGTAACTTTGAATCATTGATTCGGAGTATCCAGGGTCTGATTCTTGTTCCATGAGTTCCTACACGATCCTAGAGGTACGTAGATCAACATATTTGGAAATATAGTCAATCCAACGGTCCAAATATATCGAACCCAGATATTGCCTAATATGCGTAAATATGTTCGATCATCAAACGATAACCAAATGAAACCTAAGGGGTTGTTTGATAACTATTTTCATTTTTAGTTGTTTGAAAAATGAAAACTAAAAACTGAAAACATGTTTGGTAACAAATTTCATTTTCTGTTTTAAAGAAAGTGAAATATAGTTTTCAAAATCACTTTAAAAAAAAAAAAAAAAAAACAAGTTGAAAGTGTTTTCATTTTGTTTTTCTTTGCCCTCCTAATTCATTCATTAATTTTACATCACGACACATGAAATGCACTATAGTTATCATAATTTTGTATTTAGGACCTCCCCACTTGGACCTAGTCGCTTGATTCTTGTGTTCTATAGACCTAATCCAAGCCTCGGGAACTTCATCTCCAAAATTCAACAAAAATCATTCTAATTCCAAAAATTTCGCCGAAAAATACTACGAAATCTTTGTAACATGCACTTTTATTTTATAATCTCAAAATCACAATTTGACTTGAAAAACTTAAATCTCCAAGCTACTTATATAACTAAAAATTGAAATTAGTTACCAAACAAATTTTCAGTTTTTGAAAAATAAATACTAAAAACTGAAATGATTATCAAATAGGGCCTAAGATTCCAAAACTACAAGCCCAAACTATGTGGGCCCAATGTCCAAACCTAACATAATAGATATGGGATGTGTCCCTACACAGAGGTTGACGTGAAAGTGTTCCATAAGGGGAAGGGGTACATGTCAGGCATTATTGGTGTAGTAGTTGAATGATCACTTTGAAATTGAAATTAAGCTTCGCCAGCT